GAGAAATGTAACATTCAAATAAAAACCTGCTGCTAAGCCACTTCAGTGATCTAAGCGGAGCTAACTGGAAAAGCGAGTCATTTTGAGGATGGAGAAGCAAACTCCAGCACCCACTGTAACCCTGTGGGAAGTCAGTGGTTTTCCCTTTTTAGAATTCAGCGTTGAAGGGATGGTCCTTGTGCTTTGTGCTCCTACAGAGAGAGAAATAAAGAAAAAGGTGTCACGCTCACATAATGTCAACACTGCTGCAATAAAAAAAAAAAAAAAAAAACAAGCACAAAGACACACAGTCTCACCATTGCATCGGGCAGACCCTCCAGTTCCTGTTGAATCCTAATATAGTCTTCATTTCGTCCTCACTTAGCTCAAAGTCAAACACCTGGAAATATTTGAACAACAGTTTGAATGCATGAACCAAAAGCCGCGTCAGTAAAGCGGATTGAGGGCTAATACCAGAAAAAATCTGCTAATGACCTGGAAGTTCTCCTGAATGCGCTGCGGCGTGATCGACTTGGGGATCACGATCACGTTTCTCTGGACGTGGAAGCGGATCAGGATCTGGCAGGGGAGGGGGCGAAGTGTTAACATGTGAGCATGATCAAAGAATTTAATGGAGGAGTTTGCCATTCTGGAGAAAGACTGTTGATGTCTTCGGAGATGTTTGTTGGATTTGACAAAGTGTATTGGATTAGAATTGGCCCACCTTAACTACAACAATGAAGTCCAAGCAAACGGCATCAATCCCATTTTTCTCATTTAAAATTGTGTTAACACCGACTATGATTTAAACTAAATCAACATTATTGATGCATGTTCATCTTTAAGACAAAAGAGGAACCAACATCCATTTTTGTGTGCGCACATCAGTTCTTGAAAGCTTTCTGTATTTTAACATCACTTTTCATTTGCTGGAGTCAGTGCGAGTGCTGCACCTGAGCAGGTGTCTTCTTGTGCTTGTCAGCGATGACTTTGATGTTAGGATCATTCAGGAGTGTGGGGTCCTCCGGTTTGGCCCTGCAAATTATTTAAACACATTATTCAGCATCATTTATAGGAGCCACATATTATTGTTTCACCGTCAGTCAATAGGAGGGAAAAATGATTACGGGTGTTTCAAGAAAAGGAAAAACTCTTAACAATCTCTCCCACCCTTAACAATATGTCAATTTTTCTCCCTAGCATTGAAATCTATATCCAGTATCGTGGCATCACAAATATTTACATCAGATTTCACTTAAAGCATGGTGAAACCAATAACAGAAAACCACCAAATAAATCTGAATAATAATCATAATATTAAAGGAATTCTGTCAAATCAAATGCGGTTGAGGTTATTACTTATCTCATGACAAAAACATGCCACAGAGACAAAAAGAGGAACAACAGTCACAAGTTGAAACTAACCAACGGGGACACGACAGACAGAACAGGAATGATAAACAGAGACTGCAATCAGCCAAACATGACCTACTTTGTACCAGTGTGAAGATTCAGTTATTCTAAAATAAGTCTTTTTGCACGCCATTTTGACACAACTGTGATTGCTACGCCTACTGACCAGGGTCTGTCAGGGGAGCCCAGGGGGCTGTAGGCTGTCACCGAGATGCCCTGAGAGTGGCAGTAGTTGATCAGCTTCTCCTGGGTCAGGTATGGGTGGCACTCCACCTGGTGGGACAGACACACAATTAGGGAGCAGTACACAAAAAATTAGAGCGACGCATAAAACAGCAAATACCAAGTGGTCTACATGAGTGTAACATGATATATATGCAGTATCTCATTAACATGGTCACAGATGTTGCTTTATACAACCCAAGGTACAGTCTAGTGTTTGAATACATACAGCAGCACTCAGAATTATTCAACCCACGTTCCAAATCAGGTGAAAATTTACAAAATTTCTGCTGTTTTTGAGAAACAACTCAAAAAACAACAATTTAAATAGCTCAACACAATCAGTATTACAGGTGGTTTGTCCCAGTTCAACACAATACGCCACTTTTAGTGACTAACACTAAAACACATCTGTTCCGCTCCGCTTTCCCCACCTAGGCCTCAGCTTTATTTCAATATTTACTATTTTTTTTGTTGTTGTTGTTGTTTTGTTTGTTTTTTATATTTTATTTTTTATTTTTTCACCTGTTTGCTGTATTTTTATACTGTCAACCTTTGTATTTATTGCTTGTTGTTTAATGCTTTTATTTCTTTGCTTTTATCCTGTGAAGTGTCTTTGAGTTTTTGAAAAGCGCTATACAAATAAAATGAATTATTATTATTATTATTATTATTATTACTGTTGTCTCAAAATGATTCAACCCCTGCCGAACAAGTGTCTTTCGTATTGAGTACAGTAGCACCCTTTTGCTGCTATGACCTGCTGCAAACATGATGCACAGCCAGACACCAGGTTCTGACACCATTCCTGAGGAATCTTAGTCCATTCCTCAACAGCCTCCAGCTCTCTGATATTCTTGGGTTCGCCACCACCTTCTTCATTTCCAACCAAAGATTTTCTGTTATTCAAGCTAGGTGACTGTGAAGCCACTCTAGTATCTTCCAGGACTTTTTCTGAAGCCAAGCCTTGCTGGACTTCGGGGTATGCTTGGGATCACTGTCCTGTTGGAAAGTCCAATGACGCCCAAGCTTTGGCTTCCTCACACACAGCATGACCTCTTCTCCCAAGATTTGCTGATACTGGACTGAATCCATCTTGCCTTCCGAACGCTGCAGGTTTCCAGAAGACGCAGAGCAGCCCCAGAGCATCACCGAGCCCCGGCCATGCTTCACTGTAGGCAGGGTGTTGTTTTCAGCGTGTGCCTCATTCTTCCTTCTCCAGACATACCATTGGTCCATAGGCCCAAAATGTTCCAGTTTGGTTTCATCGCTCCACAGAACAGAATCCCTAAACTTCTGTGGCTTATTTATATGGTTTTGAGTGTATTGGAGGGGACTTTTCTTGTGCTTCTGGGTCAGTAGTGGGGTACATCTTGGAGACCTTAATCGTTTAGTGTGCGCCTTACTGTTGACACTGAAACCTCAGTGCCTGCTGCCATCAAGTCTTGCTTCGGCCACCTGCCTCCTCAGACATCTGGTGGCAGCTTCCTCTTTCTCTAAACTTTTGGGACAGCTCTCTCGACTTACCTGTTTTTTTTAAACATACAATCAAACATCACTATGAACAAACCCCAAGCCAGTCCGGATACTTGTGTTCTACCTGAAGCACATCTACTGCCACGAATGAATCCCTTGACTAGTGATGTCGCGTGTGCCTAAGACTTTGATTTATTTAGAATTTACAAATCAGTGCTCTTATGTGGGATTCTATTCATGAATACTTTTGAGACAGCAGTAGTCATTAAAAGTGTAATTTTGTCCTCAATTTGGAAAAACCACCTGTAATATAATATTAGTTGTGCTGAGCAATTTTAATTGTTCAGTTTGAGTTGTTAGAAAGTCCCAAGAACTTGAGCCTGTGCAACAAGTCTCCGGGGCAGATATCTGCTCGTGTAAATTCAGGTCCACAAAGCTACAACTCACACTTTTGACCTTGATACTCTAGTTTCCCTTTCTCCAGTTCAGCCTCCACTTGATTTAGAACCATGGCGAACTCCCCCAGAATTTTCTTCAGGTAGTTCACATTATCATGGTCCAAGATTTTCGCCGTTAGCTTCTTCTGCTTGGACAGGTGTTTCTCAAAAACAGCTGATAGTTTGTAAATTTTGCCAATAAACCTGATTTTCGATGGCGGTTGAATGAATTTGAGTGCAACTGTACATAGCTTTGCCGTGACTTCTACAGGACACATTGAATTTTGTGTCCTGTAGAAGCACATATTTATGGAAAACATTGTCTAACACAGTTTAAAAAAGTACTCTAATACACGTCACAAGAGAGGCACAAGAGAACATTTACACTGTACTTATCTGACATCATTTTAAGGGATAAATTCACTGTTATTCAATATATGAGACTCTTAGTTCTGTGTTTGTTGACAAAACGCAGAAGGAGAATGGAGCTTTAATCTAATATCAAGCACAACCAGACGAAGCCAGACACTGATGGTCAATAATTGTTCTGAAAAGAAGAAAACTATAAGGTCACCTCAGCTAATTGGTCAACCCCGAGGGGAAGCTGCTGCGGCTTATTGTGAATTAACAAGACATTTATTTCTCAGTCCTGATGGGAGGAGACAGATAATGTCATTATGGCCTCTTCTTGTCCTTTAAGAACCACAGGCATACCATTTGGTATATCTGTTTCCCTGCTGCTCAATAACCTTCATTCCAAATGCCATATCTAAAACAACTGTACATCTGAGGCACACGTGGCGCTCGCTCTAATAACTATGACGGAAAACTGTTATCGTCTACAAATATGTACCGAGCGGAAATGTCCCTGAGAGGTGACATTACAAGTGTTCTCATGTACCTGGTTGTTGGCAGGTTTGTACTTGAGGCCTGGCTTGTTGAGAATGGCTTCAATCTGCTCCTTGTTGAAGTTGGAGATACCAATAGCTTTGACCAATCCGGCGTCCACCAGCTCTTCCATTCCCTGAGAGAATTGAACATGAAAACAGATTAAAACTTGCCACTGGCAGAGATTTAGTTTAGAAGGTGTGTTTTGTGTTTTATACTAAATCCAATGTGTGCCTCCCAGCAACATCACAGCTACATTCTGCCATTAGTCTCTTTGCAACTGTCAATAGCACAATTTAAGCTTTCACTGTAGTTTTTCAATAAACCAAACCTCCAACTGTAGCAACACTCACTGCTTTTTAAAGTTTCATTTTAATTCTAGGTTCTTCAGAAACATGTATAACAAGGTTAAATGGACAGACGAGAGCTTGTAAACATGTTTGTCTTAACATGGCACAGTCAGTAATGGTGTACATATGCCTGCTGTGGTTCACATTGCTTGCAGATGTCTTAAAGACTTGAGAAACTATTTGTAAATGGGTATGGAGAGTTGTGTGTCTGCATCTCAATCTGTGTGCCCGTAGTGAGATTTGTCAATACGTAAAAAGATTCATCAATGTGTAAAAAGATCTGGAAATGTGTACCAAGCTGTTAATAGATGAAAAGTCTAGCTATTTGGCTACAAGTGCTGGAAATACAAACAAATCACCAGGTACAAGTCAAGCGGGTCTTTTTATACATGACTTCTGCAGATTTGTGTCTGTAACGTCACTGTTTCTTTGCCCTGAACCCAGACTCACAGGCTCGTTCATTCTGGCTGTGTACCATTCTGCTGCTCTGTCCCTCAGTAGTTATGCCGCCTGCATGCCATCATGAAAGTTTTTGCTCAGTGACCCACAAACTCAGCAAATGTAACTTGTTCACATACACCAGACAATGTCGTGTGCTCTCAAACACTCTGGGGGATAGCGCCGCCTGATGTCTTGCAGGAAGCACAACTACTGAGGCACAGGGTGGCACGCAGCCAGAATGAATGAGCCTGTGAGCCTGAGCTCAGGGCAAAGAAACCCTGAGGTTAACTTGTATCTTTGTATTTTCAGCACTTGTCGCCAAGTACTTAGACTTTTCACCTATTGATATCTCTGTACGCATTGACAAATCTTTTTATGCATCTACGAATCCCAGTGGGGACACACAGATTGAAGTACAGACACACAACTCTCCATGCACACTGACAAATAGTTGTACTACAATAATACCACCACAGATTATCTCTACATACCCTGACAGTAATAATAATGATGAATCGCCTTATTGTTTTGTAACTGCATGTCACAATTCTTGCTTGGTAATCCTATCTTTTATTTCCTTCGTAATAAAGAGTTATGCTAGTCAAGTCTACACCAAGTTTTACCTGTTTGAATTCTACATCTGACACCAGTGTTATCTGATTAAATTACCTCCCAAGTCTCCAGGAAGTGACTTTTGTCATCAATTGTCTCTCCGTCACTGTCCAAAGGGAAAAGATCAGGGCCAGGCTGCAACATGACAAAGGATTTAATCATAGTGTAAATGACACAGTAAAAATAAAAACTGGGACATGCTCTTATTTGGTATACAGTTCTGTTCTATCAAAGAAACACTGAATGACTTCAGTATAATAAGAACACATTTTCACACACAAGACAACCACGGTCATACCTGGTAACCCATGGGCCAGTGAACGAGATAGAGATCTAGATAGTCCAGTTTAAGATCACCGAGGGTTTTCTCACAGGCTTGTCTCACCAGGGACTTCTGATGAAAAGTGCACCAAAGCTGTGAAAGGAAGAGCCACAGAAGTCAGAGAGCTTGTAATTGGTAATCCAGGATTACATAAAGTTATTTCAGTGTCTTTTTTTTTTTTTAAGTTATTTTTTTGGCCTTTGTGCCTTTATTGGATAGTGTTAGTGAGAGAGAGACAGGAAAGTAGGGGAGAAGGACATGTGGGAAAGGGTCATGAGCAGGATTCAAACTCATGACCTCCACATTGGGACTGCAGCCCTGCACATGGGACGCCAGCTCAACCAGGTGAGCTATAGCAGCGCCCATTTCAGTGTCTTTTAGTGGGAGAAATACCAGTAAGAACATGCATGAGTATAACTCACCTTGCTAACGATGAAAAGATCCTCTCTCTTCACCACGCCTTCCTGGATCTTTGCCCGCACACCCTCGCCCACCTCTGCCTCGTTCTGGTAGACGAACGCACCGTCGATGTGCCTGTAACCCGCTGAAATGGCTGCTTTCACTGCATCTTGAACCTTACCAGGTTCAGACTAAAAGACAAGATGATGATCTAGTTGTGGTATTGCAAAAACAAATGATACAAAAAATATACTGCTCTCTAGTTGTGCTTGTACACCTTGTCGAACAGCAGCAACAATTCTGAGATATAATCCAGCACCATAACAGCATGATGTATTTTATTTGTATTATTTCTCTGGTACGTTCCATTATAGTTAATATTTTGCTTTATCTTGCTTCTGTGTAATCCGCATGCTAACTGTGCAAGCTTTACTTTATCAAATAAAACTTAATTACTTTAGTTTGTGGTTGAAATTGGTAAAACAAGATTCATAAAGTCACATTTTAATTGTGTCTTTCAGCTAGCGTGTTCTCCACACTTGTCCCATCCTGATAATTTAGCTATTAAACAAAGCTATGTTCTCAAGTAACTGCACATTCAGCCACAACACAGCACCCTTGGATTTTTTGGCAGGAATATCTATAATATTTAATATGCAGGTTACAGTGAGAAAGAAATGATCCTCATTCTGGGATCATTCAGCTTTACAGGACACAACCTTGCTGTCCCTGTTGTCAACAAATGAAAGGACACTAGCAGTTCAACCTGTATGACGACTGATAGAAAAGCACAGCAAGCAGTTTGAGGATTAAGTTACACAATTCTCGTTGCCTGTGAAGACGCGCAAACTAATGTTATAGTAGTTTTGATGGACTGTACTAAATAATAAAGTGAAGAACACTTTGTACAGTTTTAATATAAGCAGCAGCTTTACAGACGTTTCTAGAAACAGGCTCTGCTCAGAGTGCCTTAGCCATGGTTGGCACCAGTCATAGTGACCAAAAAAAATGTCAAGAAATTATTACTTGTGACATAAAAAATAATTTCTCACTCATTTATGTTAAAATGTAAGCAAATGTGTTGAGGAAAGTTCGCTTTAAAACAGCTACCTATGGTCTCAAATCGTGCTTTCTGTTGGCACGCCTAGCTAGCTTACTCCACGGATAAGCTATAAACTTATGTTAGGCAGGTAGAAAGTGGAAAATAAACGCACCTTCCATGTGCCCAGTCCCACAATGGGCATATGGGAGCCGGTGTTCAGTTTCACTGCTGTTGCCATCTTTCCAGAGGACGGGCACAAAGCTGAGTGCGGCTGAAACGGCGGAGTGGCGACAATGACTGCGGAGCGCGGCGTTAGCAGATCGCCGGGGATCATCGATCGATTGATGATGCCTTTTAATTCGTTCTGGGTTCAACTGAGGTCACTGCTGCCACACGCTGCTGTCAATCCGTTTATTATTAGTTATGAATATTACACTTTAGGGATTTTGGCTGCTTGTTAGAAGTGGGAGAGATTTATATTTATGTATTAACTTTTAACATACTTCGCTGAAAAGAAACATTCCATTCATTATAACTCATTTAAATTACTGACTGCAATAAGTTAATAATCAACACATCAGGTTTGATTTGTTATTGTTGTGTGCATGAAATCTGAATTCACACACACACACAAAACAAAATAAAAACTGCATCTTCCCTTTGAAATATCACAAGTAAAAATCACAACATATGTCCCGAGTCAAAATAAAGTGGAAATATTTAAATAAATTAGCTAAAAGTAGGCTATTGCACATGTTAAACTTATGTGCAACACTTGGACGAATGTGCACGCATCTGCAATGGATGCAGTAATGTGGAGCAACTAATGAAAAGCCTGTCTGTGAAGATTCTCAGTCATTCAGGTCATGGTTGTTCTGGTAGATGAATCGTAGCAACTGGACTTGCTTGAGTTCTATGAAGACGTTTCACCTCTCATCCAAGAGGCTTTATCAGTTCTGACTGACTAGTTGGGAGTTCCAGGTACTTACATCCTAAAGGAGCCATTAACACCTGAGCTTCATCTTCAGGGAACTCAAACAAGTCCAGTTGCTACGATAAATCTACCAGAACTAATAAAAAGAAACATAAAGTACATTTACTCAAATCAACTATGATATTTTTAAGCTGATTTGTTTTGCTGTATTTCAGTTTCTTTGTCAAGGTTTTTCAAAAGCATATTTGATCTCAAAAAGTGCAGACACTATGCTCACATCTGTGCAATACTTGAGTAAAGGTACTTTGTTATGTTGCTTTTTATCAGTTGTTCCAGATGAGTGCATCCCTTGCAGATGCAAACACATTTGGCTCAGTATTGCACCTAAGTTTATATGTTTCATAAACTGTCAATGAGACATAATAAATTGAAAATATTTAAACAAACTTGCTTGAAGCTACCACACACATGAAATGCAGGAGCAATACTTCTGCATCTGCAATAATCTGGAAAGACTGTCAAAAAGAAGGAAAAAAAACAATACAACAAAGTACATTTACTCAAGTATTGCACAACTGTGAGCATGGTTTCTCCATGTTTTTGATCTCAAGTATGTTTCTAAAGACCATAGCAAAGAAAATGCAATATAGAAATACAAACTATAAGCTGTAGAAATTACAGACCTGCAGTGCACGTCATTCAGCTAATTTTGTCTTCAATGTCTTGGAATCTTGCAAAGTGCAAAGAGTAAAACCTGCCTCCTTCTCAGGAAAAAAGACATTTCTTGGTTCTGCCATTGAACCACTAGAGGGCACCATTACACTTTACAAACATGTGAAACTGTCTCCTCAGATCACAACAGTTAAGCCTCAAAGGCAGCATGTTCACGTTATTTCATACATTAGCTCGGATGACCAGTAATTACAGTAACTTAGATATTTCACTCAAGGCTTCCAAAAATTAAAAAAAAAACAAAAAAAAAACAACTCATGCACACATTCAATTAAATATATCATTAGAAAATAAATGCACCTGGAACATGCCCTGAGTTTACCGTCTCAGCATGTGGCATGCAATGTAGGAACTACTATGTCTATAGGATATGCTGTTTTTTTTTCAGTCTCTATTACTTTAATTAGAAGCTCCTCTTACACTGTGCAGAAGAAGTGGACCATTGTGAATCAGATCAGCCTTAAACCCCAAGAGACAGCTGAAAGGAGGAACAAATACAAGGTGACTTATTTTGGCAAAATCAGATAAAACCTCACAGACCTTTAACTGAGCCATTCAACGTTGTGAGCAGGAGATAAGACAGGGAGAAGATAGCCACACACACACACACACATACACACACACACACACACACACACACACACACATATATATATATATATATATATAAAAGAAAACATACAAAGGAAAAAGTTATGGGCGCCTGCAGCCACTGTGTACCTCACAATGGCTCCCGCTAAAGTTTGTGTCTCTTCTGATCTTCTCCCAGCTGGACGCCTGCTTTTCAGGCCCTCTCTCCTCTGATCTAACTTCAGACACTGGAGGGCCTTTTGCCAGCCTGCAAACTGTCAAAGTACCCCAGGAATCAAACACTGTCGCATACTGTCAGGATCAAAGGCCCACAGGTAAACCAGACGAAGACACAGCCACATACAATCGTCACCTAAAAGGGGGGTTTTCATTTCAGAGGCTCTTATTTTTGCAGGCAGATACCGTTTCACTGTACCAAGTGCATCGATTAGAATAAAAGAAAAGAGGAAACGACAAAGCATTTGAAGATACAACAGAGGCCCAGAGTGGAAAAAAAAAGAACCAAGTGCCTCTCAAGGAAACTTTTGGACAAAGTGTGTAGACTCAGGGTGAGGTTTGAGGAATATGAAGAGAAAAGAGGATAAATCTTAGTGGAACGGACAGAGAGAGGACGGCGGTGTCACAAATAAATATATAGATCACACTGAGCTGCTGTCTCCTTTTCCATTATGCGCAGCCATAATGAACGCTCCGTGCAGCTGGTGGTGTCCAGAGCTTTCATTGGTTCTACATCAGATCAGACACTCCACCGGTAAGACCTGAACCCGTCCCGCGGAGATCAAACACCTCATTTCATTTCATGGCATTTGCTCCATTCTCCCTGCCTTTTCTCTCCACCTCTTGTCTCTCCCATTGGCCTTGGCTTTGCTGTCTTTTTCTCTGTTTCTGCCAGAGCGCCCTGGGTCATAATCTCCACCCATAAATCTAATGTCGAGTGTCAGCTCTCGCTGAGTTCACTCACACGCTTGCATTCCGCACATTCCGGCGATTGAACAATAACAAGATCAGGGAGAGAAATCCCTACGTCATAAGTAAATCATGGTCATTTGTCAAGTGCATTACATGTTCTTAGAGGCACGGGAGATTATTCGGCTTGAATTAAGCCCTGCAGACATCACAGAGAATTATTTTTTTTTAGATATCTCCAGTAGGTAAATAGTAAATACATTTAAATGTCAATTAATTAGCTAATTAGCAACTCTGATGATTTTAAAGCTTCTGTGACAACAGATCTGAGTAATTCTAGTCCACAAAATGTGAATATTTGCTGTTTTTTTGTTGTCTTACATAACAGAAAATTGAATTTTTTTGGATTTGGTTTGTTGGTTGCACAACACGAGCTATCTGAAGATGCCAGCTTCTTGGGTTTGGGTTTTTTTTTAACCCAAAATAACCGATTAATCCAGAATCTTTAAAACCACAAGCGGATAAAGAACTATACATTTATTGACGCATAATAAAAAAAAAACTAGAACGTCAGAGAACACTTTATGAAAAAGACTCTCACGGATTCACCGCATACTCTCCGTTATGGCAAATTTTTACAGTGACGTGTACAAATTCATCGTTTTATCGCACAAAATCAGTTAAGGCAGTTTAAATGTCACATTAGTGCTCAAGTTCCATACTGGCATATTGTGTTAACGCGTCTAATTTCAGACAACAGACGACTTGTGCCACTGGTGTTGGTGTGTGAATGGTCGCATAGCGTTGAAATTGCGTTAAGGCCCCGCTTAAGCGAGAAAGAGAAGCTTTTGCGTCTACCAGAATAGTTCAGACAATTTGTCCAGTTAATGTTACGGAATGTATGTGTGAAAGAGACCTCTATACCCGCTTAATCCTACAGCATCTTTGGAGTTTTTTTGCTAACTTGCTAGATTCCCTTTGGATGACACTCCTGTCTTACAGTACAGTGCTTGCTTTTTTCTTACAGTACGCGCCCCAGAAATAGTTCAAGCTGCTCCTTGTAAGCGAGAGGAGAGCTGCATAAAATCGAGTTTTATGCTCTTGACTTTTTTTTTTTTTTATTCCCTCGTAGCTGCTAGAAGAAGGTTTTAGTTTGTCAGACAAATAGAAAGTCCAAATATAACCACAGAGAACTTGAGATTCGGGGTGATTTGACACTGTGGAAGACGTGCTCGAACAGCAGAAAAGCACATTTCTCTGCTGTCTTTCCTCATTTTTCAGACACAGAGTGCAGAGATCATCGGAAAACCCATGAACTCTAACATCACATCGCAACCAATATGATTTCTATTTCAAATATTCTTGATTATGGCACGATTTAAAATGTTACAAAAACTAAATGAAACTGAACATGTTTTGTTTTTCCACGTTTCAGAGAATTGCGCAGAAAGTTTATCGCTGACTGAATGTCAGGTCGGTGCCTCCATTGTTCTGCAAACCTGTGGTCATAACTTCAGGGTTGGCACGTTAGTAGGCCGCCTACTTTAAAATATATCAACAATAACGAGCTGGATGAAAGCCTGGTGGTTCCCAGATGATAAATCCTGCTGACTGTGGTGCTTTCTCTTTGTGCAACCACAAAACTTATGTATGTTTCGCTATGAAAAGTTTTTGGAGCTGTTGGACAAATTGCCTTGAGTATTCATGCTTCCACTGAGGGTGAAATTAATGATGATGCCTCTTAATTTTTAAAGTGCTATGAACAAACTATCAAAAAGAAAAACAATTTCCGCCCCATGAACTTCAGCAGTACTTGCTAATTAGCAAATGCCTGCAAGCTAATGCAGTTAACGTTAAACCTGCTAAACATCAGCATGCTAACGTTGTCATCATGCTGATGTTTGCATTTAGTTATTTATTTATTTGTTCCTTTCATGAAGGTACACAACATAATTTGTACATAAATGCACTCTACATTTTCAAATCAACACCTCCATGATTAGAAAGGAGCAGCAAGAAGAAAAAAATTCTTGTAGTTAGCTAACATGACCTGTAACTTCACAGAGCTGCAGCTATAAAAGACAGACGTAGGTACAGCTACTACTGGGTAGTAGACTACTGTTTTAAAGTCTCAAGTCCGGTACTTTACCTGTCACCATTTAGGCCATTTAGA